GCTGACTTGCGTTCCCCTTCTTTCAAGTGCATACACTCACCTCTCCAAGTTCTCTTCCACCTGTTCCCTGTTCTCACCACAGATCACAATGTCATCTGCAAACATCATTGTCCACCGAGAATCCTGCTTGACCTGATTTGTTAGTTGGTCCATCATCAGAGCAAACAAGAAGGGGCTCAGAGCCAATCCTTGATGCACTCCCACCTCCACATTGAAGCTATCTGTCACTCCTACAGCACATGTCACCACTGTCCTGCTGTCCTCATACATGTCCTGTACCAGTCTAACATACTTCTCTACCACTCCAGATTTCCTCATGCAATACCACACTTCCTACCTCGACACACTGTCATGTTTTTTCTAAATCCACAAAGACACAATGGAGTCTTTCAGACCTGCTCTGTACTCCTCCATCATCATCCTCCAATACCTCCAAAGATGACATCTTCTTTCTCTTCCCATCTCGTATTTCTCTGATGGGGTTGCAGCGTATCTTATTAATAATAAAGGTTTTATATAGTGTTTTCTTTAGACCTTCCATTCAAAATCCCATAAATGTGTCACAAGTAAGGCTGCTTCAGTTGCTAAAACAAATCGAGAGTAGCGTAATTACACCAGACTGTCAGGCTTCAATTAAAGCTTCCTCACTGGGCCACATTTTGTATAAAATTTAAGGTGCAGACAAACAGAGTTGGAGTTAAATCATGCTGTGCATGTGTCATTTTATTCAGCTTTATCAATCTAACAATCACTTCTGCAACAAAATTCATGCTTCAACGAATTTAAAACATCTGTTTAAGAAAAACAATCAGTATCTATGTTTACTAGTCAATTTCTGTACAAGTCCGACATCTAGTGGCAAACTGAACACTACATCCAGTAAGTTTGATTTTGATACATTGAAGTTCACGTTTTCCTTAAATCTCTTTAAATTCTTGAACAAAATAAACAAACAAACAAAAAAAAACTAAACCTATAGAGACAAAACACCAGATATTTCCTCCTTTTTGAAAAAGTACAGGTGCATTAAAAATTTTGAATATGAAAAAGTTCAAATATTTTTGTCAATCATTTAGAAAAGTGAAACTCGAATTTGATATAAATTCATTACACAGAGTGAATTATATCAAGCCTTTATTTCTTGTAATTTTGATTATTATGGCTTACGGGTAATGAAAATCCAAAATTCAGTGTCTCAAAAAATAAGAATATTGTGAAGAGGTTCATTATTAGAAAGTCATGGAGTCACAACCTAATCAGAAGATTAACTCCTAGACGTGAGCAACAAATGTCACATTATTCAAGTCAAACCACTCGTGAACCAGAGACAACATCAGAAGATCATCCTTCATTTTACTACTCTCAGCTCCCTGCTAGCCTTTTGCAACTTTTAGCCACATTTTAGCCACTTAACCTTTGGTTAGCCATTTGCAACCTTTAGCTAACATTTGGCTGCTTTTAGCTAGGTGCTCTTCTATTGGCTGCAACAACTCAGTTTCAGCTTTTTCATTGAAGTCCAGCAGGACTGCATTTTTTCAGAAAATGCTGTCACTTTTTTAAGTACAAAAACTTTTTAAGAGAGATATTTAATAATCATGCTGCTTTCTACTAGCTGCTCATTTTCCAGGAATTATCTAGGATCCTTTAACCACTGGACTGTCAGTCCCATTTGTATAAAATGATCTGAATGTTTTGTTTGGCTCTATGCAGCCTTGTGATGGACTTGTCATCCATCCTGGGTGTATTCCGCCTCTCGTACAGTGATAGATGGATGTGGTCACCAGTGACATGAAAAGGAAAAAGC